TTTCACTTGACAAGCAGTGATTAAAACCAAATATGAGATGTCTCATGATGCTACCTGATTGTCTAATTGTTGCGAGGTGGAGTCATGTTCGAGGCAATGACCTACTTTCTGAAGGCTGACGGTATATGCTTTGTTCAACGTATAATAACTCACGACAGTATGTTAAGTTTCGATAATCACCTACACTACAGTGATTTCATTCACCTTTTCTTCTTGTAGTCAACATTAGAGGAGATGCTATAACTAATAAACAGTAGGAAATCAATAGTGATTTAAGCAATTAAGTGGTTGAGATTACGTTAAGTGGTTCCTGAAATGATGCCTCATGTGAGAAAATATACCATTTGTATTGTATATCTTCACAGTTCCCAACCCTCATTAGAAAGGCAATAACAGCTACGGTTACGCACATTTTACCAACGTCAAAAAAGTCAATTATTCGTTAATACTAAAAGTATTAGACCGAAAGGAAACACATACAGAACCAAGATGAGGCTTTCATTTTTAACTGATGGTTTGACTAATTTGTGAAGTCATCCAACTATCCCGACCGTAGCCCCTACCTTGACGTGGTGGTTGGGCTTGTATATCACAGTGATCCGACGAGCTACACTGGTGGGATGCTTGTTCCCTCGAGGTTCTATTATATCACAAACGTATGCTTTTATAGTGACTGATAAAAAGCAGTTACCATTACAGTGTATGTTCCAACGCTGTTGGGCTGGGTCTGAGGGCTAAGTCATACTGTTGGCTGGACGAGGTGTGACAACAGGAAGGTGTTTCCAACAAGACTAGCGGTGTCATGCGGAGGCTGCCTCCCCTATGGGTACGCTGGGGTTAGATAAAGTCGGCCCCAAATACAGTACCCTACCAACACCCCGTAGTATACCAATGCCTGCAATAGGGATTCATAACCGAATTCGAAAGCAAAATCTCAAACTTGCAGAAAGGCCACGTGGGACCGGCCTAAACGGTTATCCCTTAAGCTCCGTGGTCACACATTATTCCTTCTTTTTCAGGCACCTCAAGAAGAACTAGCCTTCCACAGTATGGGCAGCTGGGAATCGTCAACCGCTCACATAGTCCTAGTGGTATATACGACTCCATCAAACATGACCTATTCTCCTAAACTCTATCTCCTCCTTTACGTTTACATGCTGATACCAATAGTGAACATCTCACATGTTCCACAACCTCTCATTCTGGGACCATTGAGAACGATGAAAGCCATCGAAAATTGATTCCATTGCTTTCATACTACAGCTTTCAACGTCCGAAGTCTATGCCAAATCCCTTGCCAAAACTGTGGAATCTCTAGCTGTCTTTGCGGCACGTATACTGGACGCGAGTGTGGTTGTAAATTGACCTCATCTGAAAATAGTAGTGAATCCTTAAAATTCACCTTACGAGTATCCAGATACCCAGCGGTTAGTTCTTTTGGGCTCACTGCTATACGGATAGCTTTCACCTATAGGGCAGAAGGCGTGCTTCTCGACTGGATGCCAGTCAACAGTCACCTATGTGCTATTCGACTGAATGGATCTGTAAAAATTAGGAAGAATGATGAGACCACCTCTGCCTACGCACCTACTGACTGCAGTTCGGATGATGCAAAGGATGATATCTATGAGGAGCTACGAGTTTCGCAACAGAAAGCAAAGCATTCAGGTGTAGTCATAATTGTAGGTGATCTTAACGCTTAAGTGGAGAAGCTGAGCCAACCGGAAAGGTATCCAGAGGGTATTTACGGAATCCCATGACAACGTTGAGAGTATGTTGCAACTTTGTTCCGATAATCACTTGATTCTGGCAAACTTTATCATCAAACATAACAGCAGACATTGTTGCATACGGTGTCGGCTGACTTTAAACCAATGATGGGCACAGATAGATCACATTTCTATAAACCATCGTTGCAGATGATCGGTGGAAGATTGCCGCTCTTTCTGGAGAACTGGTTTGGACTCCGACCATGCGTTAGTAGAGGCTCGTGTATACCTGCATCTTACTAATCCCAGGAAACAGGCCTATGGTCAATGAGAAGACGAGGACGTTAAATACGTATTCAGGTAGGAGTAAGCTAAGAGCTTATCTGGACACGACAGCGATGCTCATCCCGAGGGAACCTGGTGTGATATTAAGTCTGTTGTAGAAGGTTGTGAAGACAGTTCCTAACCTACGCAAGAAGATTAGCATACATCACTGGATTTCAGCGACATCATCCCAACTGATTGATTCTAACGACCTCTGTTCACAATGAAGAACGAAAACAACTTATACACAAACAACCAGAAGTCCCCAAAGTCATCGTGAGCAGTGGTGGGTGAGAAGAGCGATAGAGATGAGGAACACATCAGCGTTGGGATGATGGTTAATGAAACCAACACCAAAAAGTATTGGACGCTGAAAACGTTGCAGGACAGGCGACTAGGATGTTGAGCTGAATTCTTTGAAGCACAGTTCAACTGGCCTTCAGCAACGCCTCAGTTGCCTAACATCTAGCCCAAACCTACAATGGGGCGTGGATATTGGTCCCACAACTGTCGTCGAATGTAAGAAGACCATATCGAAACCCAAAACGATAAAAAACAGCAGGACTTGACAGATTACCACCCAAAGTTTTCAACGATGGAGGTAGGAAATTAATGAGTAGAGTGACGGAACTACTAGTTAGCGTATGGGAGTGAGAGATTACGCCATCAGACTGATTTACTTCAATGATCATCCCAGTTTATAAGAAATGAGAGAAATCTTCTTGCGATTACCATGAGAGAATCAGTTTGACAAATATCGTGACCAAGACCCTTAGGCTCCTTTGACGTCTAAGTGGAGCTCGAGGACAGCAAACTCAAGAAAACCAATTAGGTTTGGGACCTACATCGATCAAATTTTTTAACCTTCGGTGGGTTCTAGAACGCATGCATACTTACTGGCGGCTGACACCTGCTACATTTCTTGACTTGAAGGTGGCATTCGACTCTATAGACCGTGAGGGGTTGCGGCAATGTCTGACTGTGAAGGAGGCACAGAACAAGTACATAGTGCTTATCAAAGCTCTCTACTCGAACTCATACTGGCTGTTTGAGCGATGATGGGGAGTTGTCATCGGAGAGATATTCAACCACCTATTGAGTGACGACTGTTCTGCGCTGCAGTCCATTTTGCTCTGTTATACGGCTGAAACATGGCCGTTTAATGTAGAAGTCATGAAGTGGTCACAGGGTTTTGATTACAGATGTCTTCGTACAATTGGTCACGTTTCGTGGAATCACCGTGTGAACAATGATGAGGTCGGCTGGAGGGTTACAAGCAAGACACATAAGTCGACTGATGAGTATATTAGCCTTCATCTACTGAGACGGCTTGGATGTGCGCCGCACATGCCAAGCCACAGCCTACTTCGACGTACCATAATAGGGGAGGGGGGCCGAATTAAGTTGGGAGAAGGTTCAGAGTGGCCAGTTGATAAAGCCCAAGACTGTTGGTCTGAGTCATGCGGGAATATGTAGACTGACTGGTTGGGGTCCTCGAGACCAAAGGAATCAGCCTCTTAGTGACATGGCTGAAAATCGATTACAAAGGCGCAGATGTATCTACACGCTGACGCCTTCCAACACTTGAGTATTTGCGATAATCTGTCTTCAAATTGTTTCTCTCACAACTTTGTCTATTTTGATATCACTCTTTCTCTATTCACTTGTTGTTTATATGCTAATTTGAAGTGTGGTAACTTGAACTGATGCACTTGTATGCCAGGTTTTACGTCGATTTTGTCTGTGTTTCATCCAGCCCTGACATTTTGATTAGGATTTGATCTTCCCACGGCTTTCTAGGTATATCTACACAAACCAACTAAGTAGAACACTGACTCAATTACTGCAGTAGATGAGTAAAAATTGAATACCAAAATGCTTTCGCTGTCTTTTAAATTGGATATTATGTTGATTTTACGTTTTCAACTTTCTGTTAAATTCAAACTGAATGTGATGTTTTGAATAAACTAACGACGTTAGGACTTAGAGAACGAGATGATAGTCTGATGAAATCAAACACTAGATTCGACAGCTGTGTCATCTTCAAAAGCCAGAAATGATGAATAATGGCAGTCAGTGAAATATGAGGGTGCATTATCTTAAAAAATAACACTTTTCTTAATAATAACCACATAATTCACGCATGAATATTCCCTTGCATCAGTTTCGTTCACAATTCGAGTTTTTATCTTCAGAAATTCAACCGTCACAGTAAACTGTCTATCAAAAGAGAATCAATTATATGGATTAATTTTAGTCGATTAAAAAGCTGAGGTACTCACCAATTACGTAATTAGCATCCTACTATAAACACTATAAATTTAGATACACCTAAATAACGGGTCAAGAGAAATTGTTTGTAAGTACAATGAAAGGTCTAATTGGTAGTAACAATGGATAGCTGTCCACTTGGAAACACCAGCATCAGGTGTGAAAACAAAACAAATGAGTTTTACTAACGGTAGCCAACATCATCGCCACATTATTTCTAAGTAGGGTGACATTAACATGAAATTGTCAAGTATATAGCTTATACAAACTACGAAAAAAGTAAGAATGAATAAGTTCAGATACACAAATAAGTATAGCACCACACACTGATATGCAGCCTTATAAGTTCGCTAGGTAGACACATTCGATTCAGTGTCGACTGATAAATTTCGAGTTGATCTCATGATTAAATGCTCGGTTATTTGTCTTGACATACAATAATCGACTTGAACTGGTGTAAACTACATGACTATGCTAGTACAAGCTACTACTCACTACTTTGCAGTATCTTCTGTTTTCACTGTCTGATGAAGGTAGATCAGAAGTGTTTAAGCTCTTAGGAATTGGAAATAAATTTCTAAGATCTAGTCCTCAGATTGGAATCGAAAATGTACATTAAACGCCAATCCACAAGTGTGCAATGCCTACCTGAACTATACTTGATCCAGTATATCACAAGTAGTAAGAAAACAAATTCAGCAACTATGATTATTTTGTTTTAATATCTTCGCATAGGATTATTACCAAAAATTAGCAACAATCCCCTAAACGTTACATAAAATACAGAATGATCAACAAGTATAATATATGTATATCACAACCTCCCCAACCAAAAGTGAATTGGAATCAAGTGCTAGGAATACAATGTAAGTATAAATGAGTTGTGTGTGTGTGTATGTGTTTACGTGAGTGAAATAGAAATAGGCAGAGAAAAATCAAAATCAAATCAAACAATATCAAAATGTGAAACATTGAATTAATGTGCAAAATCAATAAATTCCAAGACCAAAGAAATGAGAATTCAGGAAAACTGTAGATTCAATTGACGCCATTTGCATGAGACAGATATTTTTCCCAATTTTCTAATATCTATAATTTGTGATGCACAGTCAAAGAGAAAATTGCACAAAAAGTAGGTTAATCTGCTAGACAGTAAAGAACAAAATCACGATTTGTTATAACATATACGTTTACAATTAGACAACAATGAATAGTGATTAGAATTTCTGGCACCAATTTTACTGCTTGTATTACCCAGGTTAACAGATATTACACATATTACTGATTAGGCGGATATAGCAGTGAATCAAGCTTTTGTATGTCACCAGTTAAATCTGATTATTATCTGCTCAGTCAAGTTGTAAGTGAACTATTAAGAATATTTTGTGGATTGACAACCATTTATTTTCAAGGGTCATGACAGATTTCTGAATGATATCGAACAAAAGAACTCTTCAACGCATTACCTGCTACAACCAGATACAACTTCACAACTCAGGAATTTCGTTAAGAGTACTGTATTGATAGATCTACGAAGACAAATACAAAAGGACAAACGTAACCTCAGTTTTCTAAATATACGTTGCTGATTTATACAACAGACACAAAACCTGTGTGCATAGCATCCGCGAAATCGCTTCTTACCACACCTGGAACTAAAAATAATCCGAATGGAATGAGGACCTAATTCAGTCAGTACTAACAACCAAATAATGTAGGATTCGTAGATTTCCAGAGGTCAGTTTATATTTTGAGTGCTCAAGACGGTAAGATACACAGGAAAATATATAGCGAACAATAAAAATTCCATTTCTTTTCGTGGTCATGCAGAAATATCTGTTGTCGGCTTTTTCACTTACACATACCCAAATGCAAATCTAAATAAAGTTAACAAGCAAATCATTACCTAACAGACAATAAAAGTGAAAATGCTTGGTCACATGGATGATTCGCACAAAAGAAATTGCTTGTATTTTTCATAACTGAAGTCTACAGGAATGTTGCTTAACCAGATAGCAAACAGTTTTAATCTAATCAAAAGAGAAGCCATACATTCGAAACTGTTAATCATCCTATTCAAGTGAAGCAACTATAGAAAAACTCTCTGACAGTCATTAAAGTATCTCCTCACACTAATCAGAAGTCTAATAGGCAAGAAACGAAATGCACTCAACGACCTTGTGCAAATCCATGCAATAGGCAATGTGTGAGAGCTAGTCATACTACCTGACCGCCCAAACCTTGGTAGGTGACCGAATGGTCGATATTCATCTCCCAAAACAACTGAACCATAGCTCCATGGTTCTGTTACATATATACTACTATTTACCATACCATGGTGTCATTGAATCACAGTTGTTCTTCCTATGTAAATCAGTGTAAACGTAAACACCTAACGTCACCAAAATAAAATGGCTAGGTTGCAATCCAGAGGTCGAAGATAATTCATTATTGTCATGAGGTAACAATACTTGCGTGTTATTGCATAATATTAAAAGGCGTTCGACGTTATTTCTGAAGAGACTACTAGGATGATAAACGCAAGCATGAATAAATATAGAACGTGATAACATTTCAAGCATTTTCCGGAAACAAGTCATCAATAGTGTACAGAAATGATAAAATCTGTCTGTATCAACAGTCAAGATAATTTCTAAGTATGCCCAGTTAGGTTTTCCTTTTATCATAAAAAGGTGACTTTCTCTTTGATGGAGCCGTACCAGATTTGTAATAGAGCAGTGAACTACAAACACATCAAAATACTTCATTGTCTAAAGCAAGTTAAAAGTTTAATAAAACCAGTACCAGCTGGTTGTTCAGGCCGAGACAGATAAAGCTGAGTTCAGAGCTGCAACTCATTGCTTGAAATTCAAATAACTGGGTTAAGGAGCTACATGATCATTTATCCAGGTACTACATTTAAGCCGCACAATGGGAGTAGAAAATCAAGATATATACTTTCACACAAGAGAAACTAGTGAAAGCATCTGATTAATTTCAGCTCTTATGAGATTAGAAAATAAGTAGCAAGTATCAAATACCACACAACCAACATATTCAACCTGTAATACAGACTGCAAAAGAATCAACAAGTTTCAATATGAACTCACTTTCATTTGAATTTGCAACAGTAACTCCAAGTATTCTGTGGTAGCCTGTTTGAAATAGGTGAAACGATTGAGATCGAAATTCTGGAATTCTTTTTTGATGTTTTCTGATATATTATTGAATTTGTGTTGAGCTTGATCTACACGATTTTCAAGCTATAGAAATAAGAATAAAAATACTCAGAAAGCTTAGTGGGTACCTACCAATCATCAGATATACTGTAACAGAAACGAGTTGCGGTTTGGAATCGCTGTTCCAACTAGTACAATCTCATAACCACGTGCCTTAGCTAGCCTTCACACAAATATATGAGTTGTAACGTATTATTAGATCATATCTGTATATTATTATTATTATTATTATTATTATTATTATTATTATTATTATTATTATTACTATTATCTGTACATTATTTGTCCCTTGGGTTTCTAGTGGAACATATGGCTTCAGTAGCACATCTCCACTCCACTCTCTTCTCTGCAATCTTTTGAACCTGCCTCCACGACTGCTCACAACCTCTCATTTCTTCCTCACACGATCTCCTCCAAGTCACCCTCGCTTCGAACGCCCAACTCGCCGTTTCCCATCCGGGTTCCACTCGAGGGCCTGACGCATGATGTTCTCCAACGGTCTTCTCAGTGTATGCCCAATCCATCTCCATTTCTTTCTGCATATTTCTTGAGTGATAGGTTCCTTGTTGGTTTGTTCCCAGAGTTCCTTGTTGCTTATTTTTTCTGGCCATCTGAGCTTCAGTAACGAGCCAGCGTAGGCAGTTGTTGATGAATGTCTGTAGTTTATTGGAAATCCATTTCGTGACGCGCCAAGTCTCAACCATATAGAAGCACTGACTTGACTGAATTAGTGTTGAAAATCCGGATCTTGTTCCATATGCTGAGTGCAGAAGATTTCCACACTGGTTTCAGGTTAATGAACGCCTGTCTTGCTTTTCCGATCTTGGCTTTGACGTCGTCGTCTGTGCCATCTGTATAACTAGAATACAATTCATGTAACATATGCCGCATGGAATTTATTACTTTTATTAAAGTATTACACTGAGATGCAAAACGTTACATCTTATATACGATGCCAGATTTGATGCTACGTAATTAAACAGTCAGTCAGTCACTATTGAAATTAGCCCCTTCTTCAGGATTGGTTTGTAGCGATTCTTTCATTTGAAAGCGATCTTCACCACGGTTTGACACCAGTTGGAGAATAAATAAACTTGAGGTTTCTGAAAAATAAGTGTTAGTGTGTGATCCCGGGGCCCTAGGGACATTTACTCGAGCCCGGTCATACACGGTTTTCCTAAGAATTTGAGATTTAAGTATGTTGGTTTCGAACCTGACTACGAACTCATTTAACCGGCACTGTATGCAGGAGTGTGTTATTTTCAGGGTCAAGGTTTTCCAACCCCCCTTTCACATATGGAAGGCAACATCAGAGTAGGACTGTTGGTCATCCGTGGGAAACACCTTACTACTGTCACACTCCCGTCCAGTCAGCAGTATGACTTCGTCCTCAGATCCGTATTATAGCATTGCAATTTACACTTAAACGGTAACTGCCTTTGTCCAATCACTATTTAACAGACCTTTCTGGTATAGTACGGTCTCGAGGGAATAAGTGCTCTACCAGCATACCTCGTTGGGTATTTGTGATATCCAAGCGCAACCATCAAGTCAAGATAGCAGTTATCAGTCGGAAACTACTCTCAAAGAACAACTAACTTTAAAGCGTTGTTAAAAACAAATAATATTGGATAGTACAAGATATCAGAGGACTAAGAGTGCTATTGATGTAATAAACGACAGAGGAGTGGAATGAGAGTGACTACATTTAAGTGCTCAAAAAGATCAGATGTCTAAAATATCATCTGATTTACTGGAGTATAAGAAAACTGCATTGTATCTACCGAGTTACTGCGCATGGAAAAGTCATACATACGTTCAAATCCCAACAAAGTAATGGAGTGGTTGCAGTTATGGTGAAAAGTACAAATAGTTCATTATTTCCTTGAATAAGGTCAGCGTATAATCAAGTTTACACTGCTTGGAACATTTTACTGCTGCACTAATGAAACGGATTTAGATACATTACAATACGAGACCCTTTGCCGTAGCATATGAAATCCGATCAAACACTGCAAAATTATTTTAAAAAAGATACTTATCGACAAAATGTCTAAAAATGAAGGACAAATAATGTACATCCTGATCTTCTACATCTATACTTGTAAAGTGATTTACAGTAGTACATCCTGCTGTGCTATGTCATTCTGTAGCGTAGTTGGAATACCTTTGCAGTTACTGCCAAAATGCACATAAAAAACTATACAACCTGTCCTTGATTATAATTTACTTCATTCAGTAGTTAGGATTTGCTAAAGGTTTTGTAGTTTATAACAAGGAAAACTGGACGCTACCGTTATCTGTGTCTTGAATCATTGACAGCATGGATACTCTTACTGCTAAACAACTATAATTAATATAATAGAAGTTATTAAAGCAAAAGAAATGGAACAAACATAAGTCCTACCTCCTCTAACTCCATTACGATCACAGCCATTTTTTTATTATCGTTTTTAGCTGACATTTCCATGCGAATTTTCTGTTCACGCTTCGAACGAAGATTGGCTTCAGCAGTTTTCCAGGTACGATATATGCGAACACGTTCACTTAATACATCCTAGATTGTATTGAAGTTTAAAAATCGGCTAGTTAACATAAGTTTTTTAAGATATTTAACCGTATTACGACAATGTCTCAAAAAGTGTTTATGAAAATAACGGTATAACTTAAGTGCTAAATAAGCATCTACTACAAATGGAAAATAATATCAGTAAGGTGAACTAATTTTGTCAAGTGCATAGAGATTGTGCAAACACTTCCTGTTGACAGTTTCTATGTTGACACGAGGTTTTTATATTCAGTTTTCTGATTAGGACGAACAAAATCACTGACAATATGACTTATTCTGTATCCTTGTTGAATTTATTCATGAATAAGTACGTCGTTATCGTGTCAATAACTGTAAAAAATGCTTAGTGATAGGATTAAAGTAATCAAGTGCGAAACATCCAAACGGTTACTTTCAGAAAGATATCATATTCATCGATCAGTCTTCGATAAAAATTACAAATCTTTGTCTGAATGGACTTTATCAAAATGTATGATCATAGTTTCGCAAACAGCTTGACCTAAATTCACTCTAAGCAAAAAACAAAACAACTTAAGGCAGAAGCAATTCCACAAAGAAAACATCTAATATAAAACTGCCGACAGCAGAGTGTTCACATATACTCAATCAACTTTGTAGAACAGTTTTAACGAGTAAGAAACTCTATATCTATAGATCATATAAATTCAAGAAAGCTTACTTTACATGCCTGAACCATGCCAAGTATTTCTCTAGCATATTCCGCCAAATGACAAGTATGTGCTTCTGCTTGTAGAGCATGCAGTTCAGCAACATGCCCTTCCGTTTCAGCAAGATGGTGTAAAGCTTGAGCTAAACCAGTGTTTTCTTCTACGTTGGCCAGCAGAAGAATTGAGCGGGATAAACCAGCTTTAGCACTTGCTAACTCTGCAGTAAAAAAAGTACATGTTTAACTACCAAAAGCAAAATGCTCTGTAACAGTATCAATAATTGGTATACACGTTTATCTTATCTAATACTCTCTCAACAAGTTTCGAAATTACAATACAGTGATTGCTCTGGATTGGATTGTCATTATAATTGAGTACTAATTGATTTTCTGTATTAAGAGATATGGCTCATAGGTTTCGGTAGCTGACTTTCAACCAAATATATCACGGGGTTGAAACCCATTCTGCTCACCGAGATTTGTGGCAGCCAGGTGATATCATTAGCCCTCATATAGCAGGTATGGTCCATTGGCTACTGGTAGTGAGCGCATGTCGTTTCGTTTTCGTTTCTGCATTGAAAAATAAGCACTGTTTACTTATATGTGAACAATAAAATAAACAAATGACTTTTCCAGCTAGTGCAGATCCATAGATTTCTCTCACTTTATCGTTCATTGCTTGAGACGACAGAAATAAAAACAGGTTCATATACTATGTAACTAGTCATACCAGTTTTTAAGGATCAGCAAAGCTGCTAGATCACTCAAGCTGATGTAGGTAAAATGGGTTTTGAACCCATGATCTACTTACTGATTGAAAGTCAAATACCAATGACAGTCCAACTGTTCACAAGCGCATGATAAACAACAGCAAAATTAGTTAATAGTATCAAAAGTTAATTGTTGCCTAGCTAATGCAGTTATGAAGAATTCCGTCCACAAATGTATACACACAGAATGAAATCTACAACAAATTAATTTTACTAAATGATAATTTTCTCCATGAAGTCGTGCTTAATGATTTTTCTCAGCTAAACATCACACAATTACATAATTTACTCGAATTCCACACTCAGGTAAGGAGAGATTAATTATAAAGTACCTTTGTAGTTGAAGGTGAAAAAATTAGCTTATACAAATATATTGACCACTTAAAGTTGTTTAAATTCCCAGTCTTTAAAAACAAAAAAAAGGCAGTTACACAATCCGATCAACAAATTTAAATCAGATGCTAACTTCAGTGCTTATATCTATGCCTTCTTAATTAAGAAATTCACATCTAAAGCTTCGAATCGATATAATTCCCAATCAAACAGACATTTTAATCATTTCAATACACAAAGTATTTACCGTTATCTCCTGATACTAAACAGAGAAGAGCCGAGTAGAGACGCTTAAGTTGCTTTTCCCAACTATCCAATTCATCAGCTTTTTGAAAAAAAAACTGAAAATATACAAAATAAATTATAATTTCTCTCCAAAAATAAGATTTTGAACAGTATAAAAATTAAAAATGTGATATAATTTTTAACCTTATAGTGGATGACAGTGTTACAGTTGCAACAGAAAAGAATGCGAACTTTGTCAGCGTTATTATATGCATGCGGATTGTAAGCATTTCAAGATTGCTCATTTAATCAATAAACATACATTGCATAACAGTACATCAATTCGTTGAAATAACACTTTTTGTCATATTGGAAAGACAAGAAAATGAAGAAAGAGTACGCAAAACTAACACAATAAATAAGAATTTAAGAACAATATAAGTGAATACAATTTTAGAGCTGAGACAGATTATCATACATAATGCTTAGCATTTGCAACCCTGATTGACTGATAAAACCAAAGTAGGATATCACAGACACGTGCATCATTTCAAGTTGACACACTTCAGAAGTAAACAAAGAACAGGTGGATAGAAAAGGAGTGATATCAAAGTAGGTAGTATGAGAGAATGAAAATAATCTGAAGATAAAGGTTACTGCAAATAGTCAAGCTTTAGAAAATGTCAAGGAGTGAATACATCTGCTCCATTGTGACCGATTTCCAGCCATGTCACTAAAAGTTCTCGAGAACCGCAACTAGGCAGTCTGAATCTTTCCATACGGTTCAGGTCAGCAGACGGACTTCATCTACTGGTGCCACATCTCGGTCTGGTTACTCTGAACCCTTTTCCATCACAATCCAACTTTCCCCTAACATACCACGTCGATGTAGGCGGTGATTCGGCATATGCAACACATGTCCAAGCCACCTCAGTCGACTAAAGTTCATAATCCTATCAGTTGATTTGCCTGTCATGACTAGTAACTTTCGCAAGAACCTCAACATTGTTTACACAGTGATTCTACCAAATGCGGGCAATTATACGAAGACATCTATGATCAAAAATCTGTGATCGGTTCAAATCTTCTACTTCCAACGGCCATGTCTCAGCTGTGTAACAGGACAGAACAGACTGCAGAGCAGTACATTCGTCCTTTAATAGATAGCTGCATATCTCACCGACGCCATAGGTGACGTGAGTTGAAACGATACCAAACGCGCCTTCTGTATTCGAGCTGAGATTTCGTCACCAACCACCCCACTCAGGCTGATGCAACTTCCCATGTTAGTGAGACAGTCAACACATTTCACCACTTCACTCCCTATCATCACTCTGGGAGTACTGGCAACAGACCACTCCTGAGGCATCACCTTACATCTGACAGGTGCCAAATGCATGCCAAACATATTCAGATTTCTGCTCAACGTGTTCCGAAGACCCTACCTGTATTTTGTCAGCGTCTTCACCTAGTAAAACAATATCATCTGCATATTCCAAGTCAACCAGATGACCTCCAGGGAGTAGGTCAATCTCTCTGAAGTCAGACACATAGGGTTATGTCCATAATTACGTTAATGAAGAAGTTAAATAAGAACGGTGACAGTGGACACCACTAGTTGTTCTCGATTCATATTACAACTCTCCATAAGCCTTTACACGGCTGCGTGAGTTCCAGTAGAGAATTCTGATAAGCGTTATACACTTGCTCGGTACTTCGTTCACAGTTAGACAATGACATAACACCTCGGGGCTGATGGTAAAATCCTACTTCCAGGTTAAGAAATATAGCAAGTGTCGGCCACTGCCCAGTAGGTACGCCTGCGTTCCAGAATCTGTCGGAGGGTGGAGTTTTGATCGATGTACTCTCCATCAGGTCTGAAACCTGACTGGTTTTCTCGAGCTCTAGTAAAGCATTGCATAACTATGGACCATGAGATGTTGGGGACAATGTTAGTCAAGCGAATTCCCGTGATTGTTACAGAAAGAATTCTCACCATTCTTATAAACTGAGATGACCAGTGAACTAGACTAATTTGACAAGATTACCTCTGATTTCCATACATTACCTAGTACCTCCATCACTCTTATCACCAATTCCCTACATTTATCCTTCAGGTGGCGAACTGTCGGGTCCTGCTGCTTTGCACTGTTTCAGGTTTGATACAGATTTCTCAACTTTAAGGAGAGTTGGAGTACGAACATCTACGTCCCATTCAGAATCGCAACCCTTGAGTTTTCTAATCTCACGAATTGTATCTCACTAGTCCACGCTCAACTTTTTACAGTAGACTGCAGAGAATATCGTTAAACTGAGTTCAAAGGTAAAGATAAATTTCTTTCTCCTTTCTCATTAAGAGACTGCACGCAGCTAATGCATGTACGCAGCCTAACAATTAAGAAGAAATGGCTAGATCTGTTAGAAGTTCAACAGTTTTTTTATATAATACGCAATGAAACAATATTATTTACTGATTGACCTTACTGGCACAATTTTCTGCTCACAGTTAATTATTTATTATTCATATCATAATCACATCGAGGAGACTGTGAGCAAGAACTTTGCTCGGAATGTCATCCAGTAAATAATACTTTTGTGTGATAAATCGAATGAACACTTACACGAATGGACTTATTTGATGCAGAATTATGCTCTACCACTCTACTCTTAAGTTAACAATTTCTGTATATATTAGTTTCCACGTATATGCTCCAACTTAACATTAACTTTCTAACACGCTATGCATTTCTAGATAAAGAGTCGTCCGTTTGGAGATTCGAAATTCGGGATAATTGGTTGTAGCAATAATGGACAATTTCTTGTGAGATCCTATCTAGTAGAATGAGAATATTAAAAGTTAGTAAGCAATTAAAGACTGTCGTGAGCACAAACACCTCAGCCAATACAGACTTGCGCTTGAGATACGTGGTTTGTTTTCTTGATCCAATGTTTAATACCTATGTTCAACACTCCTTACCTAATGCTTCTGCTCCGTACCGTTTCCGTGATGACATATATAACCTGGGGTCGCCAGTGCCATCACCGATACAGCCTTCTTATTCTGGGTTCAAAACTCAGTTATCAGTTAGTCCTTAAAGATGAATAGCCAGCATGTCTAACCGTTTTTCTTTCACAACTAGGTACAGTACAGAGCACTTCTGAGATTTATTTTTTATATGATCAATACGCCTAGTAGATGAGAACCATATTTTTAGAATGACACAATAACTAATACGCTTTACAGTTTATTGGGTGGAAAAAGCGGATCAACGAATCCCCTTCTTAATTTGGCTTGTACTCCTTTGCTAGTCTTCATCAAATGATCACCATGTAGTGTTAGATCTACTTTAAAAAAACCTTTGCACGACACAAATTCCTCGGGTTTGAATTTTGTTCGGCTTGTAGGTGAAAATCAGCATTAAACTTCACAAAATATTAAATGTATAGGTCCACAACCAACTAGTATACCCCATAATAACTTGGGATTTACCTAGGATTTCAATAAAATGTCTAGTGAATTCAGTTTAGTAGAGTTGAATGAGACATATAAGAACATCCTTGCAGACCATTACGACAAAAATACAGTATCCAAAAGCCACAAGCTAATAATTTTGTCTGTAATCGACTGGATTTAATGGACTACGTTTTGAGTTAGCTCCACCACATACATCTGAAGACGAAAGAATCAATCAGTACTGAGAGGTGATTTTACAGTAGACAACGCAACAGCAATCGGAGAGGCTGAATGCTTTTTACCTGTACCACATCCACTGCTTATTTAGTGCTTATCAATCATCGCTTCAATTATGGTGACAGTCGGAGTTGCAGTAGGTTTAGTGCTATTACCTTGTTAATTGTTCTCGAACAAAGCGAAAAAGGTTCCCATGAGATTTAAAGTGAGAGGATGTACGATAAAACTGCTAATCACGATAAATAAGAGCAAAAAGCAAAAAGCGTTAGGATCTGTGTAAACGGAACACCTACGGGGAACGAATGGTATTGGAAAGGTTGATAGATAACACATTTGTCATATATGGAATATAAGAGTAAAGTGGAGATCTCTCAACAAATCAAAGTAGAAATTTTGTAGTTACCTTCATGTATTCTCAGTTTGCTTGTATATGCTTCACAGATGATCTAAACAACAAGACCTAAAATTTATAGCGATGAATCTTCATCCCGTATCTGAAACCCGGAATTATCACATTTTGATGCTTCTCAAGAATAGAAATCAGTCACAGAAAAAGTTTATTTGATTTCTCTAGCCCTCTTACAATTAGTATTTTCCCATCGCATTACTATTTAAGAAAGACCATAGGGAACTGATTCCAATAAAAGAAATTATAAGTGATCATTTACTTCATAATTTCACAACCACAGTACTATAATAATGAGCTCCGACAAATTAAACTGCTAGTTATATAGAGTGTGACAGCAGTAAAGTATATCCTGAGGATAACTAGAGATTTCTACCGATGTTGTGATAGAAAAGGTTGGTCAAGAAGATAGGAAACAATAACTAAAAAAGCAGATGACATGGATAGAGATCGGTTGCGATGGTAAAGATAAGGTCACTCTTTATCACTTACGAAATTCTGAATATTCTAATAACCTACATTTATTAGTTCTTTCTCCTCTCACACACTGCTCTACTTTGATATCATTCTTATTCTGCCTCTTTCGTGTTCTGTCGCGATGAGTCATAGCTGCGACTGATGCACTTCTGTGCAAGACTTCAGATTTATTTCTCGACTTATAACGTTTACCGCGCCACTTCGTCTGTATGTCTCCGATGTCAGCAGTAAAGGGTTCTACACACACGAAATAAACGCAGTTCAATCTAAATCAAGAGCATCCAAAAAATCTGTGGCAGGCCTCCAGTATCTATCTCTTATGTCAACATCCCAATCTGACTAACCTCTTGAGAAACCGAAAGCAAACTCTCTCTCTCTCAACCATCCTTATACTTTCCATCTGCACTTACGTTTCTCTTTACTTGGTACTGTTCAGTCTCATACACCATTTCTACAACAGAATTATTGTCAAAAAACCAAGTAGCCTTAGATTTATATAACAATATTTCATGCATTTAAATGACAGCAACGTACTAAGCTTACATTCAAACAGACATTAATATAAAGCATGTCAGCTTGATAAGCCATGCGATGTAAATATCGATGTATGTTGTGGAAGAAACGGTAATGGAATATATATATATATATATATATATATATATATATATATATATGGAAGGTATTACATAGATCATGGGGACAGTGGATAACTGATTTGCATAAAAGAACACAATTTGATTTCAATCAAAAAGTCAATGAACAACAGCGGAGAGTTGATTTCTTGCAGAACATTCAGATAACATGCAGCATATAAAAAAATCAAAACGCAAAACACAGTACATACATATATAGTTAATAAGCCAAGGGTATAGTACGAACATACAATAATAACACATGACATGAGATGCCGAAATCAACCAAAAGCAATTATTACATTTGACAATTATTCTAATCACATGATTCAAAACTGTTTTCGGATGAGGATTTTCTTGCTTACGACAAAAGCAGATCTATCCACAAGCCAAAAACTGTCAGACACTACAGATACAAGTTTGATATTCTAAGCAATGCACACTTCTGATCTTTTATTCTAGACAAACTGAATTTATTCTGCAATCACCCTGGGACATTACCTTATGATTAGTTTCACGTGAGAAAAATCTCATTAAGACTTGAATGTAATGTAAAATACTATAACGCTTAACAGCAAATCATGGTGTCCACTGTTCAAAGGTGGTGGATTGACAATACTTAAAATAATTTACGCGTTCTTCGAGAAATCCCACAAAAGCAACATTTAGTAACAGCATACAAGGTTTATTATGCCTAAACGCCATTATTGCATGGCATGAAACATTTTCAAAGCACATTTCAGTTAGATCAAACACCTAAGAAGCTCACAAAGAAGTCGAATAATCGATCTACTAAGAAAAATCCATCTGATTACAACATGAAAAGGAAAAATTGTATTTCATTTTTTGAAAGTAATATCTCTTGAGCAGTCGGATGAAATAATCAAGTATCCATAAGAATCAAATAGTAGTGGAATGAGGATCAACAATCAATCAAAAATGCAAGTGCAAATCATATATAATCGGTAATCATATACAAAAATGAACATTTACTCAATCAAGCAGTGTTAAAAACGATTACGATGTCAGTGCTTGTTAGAGACTAACTTACCTCCTCAGAAGCGTTCTAAAAATCATAGCATGAACTATAATTAAATTTAATTCAAAGTAGAGACAAAGTAACAGCTTTGCATTTTCACTCTTCCCATCTTAACAACGCATTTCTCTTGTCGATAACGGTAAGAGAAAAACATCTTCCATTCAGCAGTAAAATTGTCAGTAAATATTTGGTTGCTACATTAGTTTTAAAAGCAAAAATGTTTGCACCACATTTTGAAAGTAATTGAAATATATTTGAGATTTTAAAACATGAGCTTTTATGCCCAGTGATTTGTTTTTCCTACAAACCATGGGTGATTTAATACAGGACACACTTAAACTTTACATAGTGAAATATGAACAGTGTGTTCAGAATGCTTACGCATAACGATCTCGTTGCACGATTCTCAAGCATAGGACCATGAATATAAAATTCACCCCACCTGCTTAGAATTATGAAGTCCTTCAAACAGCTTTGATTCAGTCAGTGTGTAGAACTGTCCATCAGTTATGAGTTTTAATTTGGCATGCTGGGAAGTTTTGATTAACTTTACAATTTAAATCTCACCACTAAAAAACCGATCATGCTACTGCCAAAAGTACAAGCGACACAGGATGACAGCAGATTACACCTCCAATGGAATATTTTCGGCTTTACGACACTATAATCACAATTCGAAAAATCGAGACCACAATTCAGATCTGCGTTACTAAAACTTGTTAAGGTGTAGCTTACTTCAATATGCATAGCTGTTATTTTAATGACCAAGATGATACTACGAAGAAAAAAATTTAAAACGTGATAATGTGTTTTGAGTTACCAGAACGCAACAATCACTAGTAAAATAGGCTTAATGCCACTTCCAAAGCTTCCACGGCACCGTTTTAACCTGACATTACTACTCAATCGTCTTATCAAGAATTTCCAACACTTAAATTTGAGAATAATTTAAAATGTTCAATATTACTAAGTAATATTCCCTTAACAGATAGCTCAAGAATCAACAGTTATTTCTTGAGAGACCGGACGAGCTTAAGGATGGATTATTAAAACGATAGTGAAATTACACCGAACGACTGATTGACATCAGTGGTGCATAGTACATTACATTACCCTAAGTCCGACAAAACATCAGGAAGAATTATGAAGCAAGGAAGGTAAATAAGTATAAAATTATAAGGAAGTCAAAATCTACAGTGAGCATCTATACCATTACACCATTCTTAAACTGTCACCGAAAAAGCCTTTTGTAAAGTCTGCAAGTTCACATTTTTTCAAACAAATCACTGATCATCAAAATTTTATTCTGTTTCGGTGTCTTAACACAGACAGCAAGAAATAAATCATATCTTAACCCAGTCAGAACTGATTGCATTTTATTCAACAGTTCACAATCAGAAATCCGATCGAAAGACTCATTCTGAAACTAAAATAAGTCCATCAATGATAAAGGTAATTAGTAATTACAGTCTGAAAACTGGCGAAGATAATTATTATTTAGCAAATAAAATGTAGTAACTGAATAAGAACCGGTCTCCTGCATGCAGCAGTTCAAAGTAACATTCCTAAAAGTAAATACAAATACAAACAGACAATCTATACAGTAGACCAAATGTCTATGAGAAAATGAACAGTCCTATGCACAACTGTGCAGACTGAAATTTCGCACTAGTAATCTGAAATATTCACACAAAAGACATATTTTTTGGGAACAAGGACTTTGACACAAACTAATGTCCGTATGTTTATGTACACACTGTGATTCACTGACTGTATGATTGACAGTACTAAAAAATATTTGAGAAGTAAGAGACGAAGAAGGTGGGTAAGGTTGTAGCTTTTTGACAGTGTAAGTAAAGTGCATTTAATAACAGTTAACATCAGTTTTATTCTGACACTGACGTACGTCACAAGAAAATCATGATGAAAGTATACCGACTAGATAAAAAAGTAACAACTTAAGGCAGATATAAAGGTGTTCTTAGATGAAGGGAATGTAAAACACTGCGCAAACCGTATCGGCTAAAAGTGCTCAACTTCATTAGAGTGAAAGACCGAACTAAACGAAATGGAAAAAAGTTTGCGTGAATGAGGAAGAACTCAGTGCAGAGTGAACAAAGAAAGTTTAATGGCGGATACTAGCCGGTTGGCGTCCACGTGACAACAGAAGCCAGTGGTTGGAGACGCTAGGCGATATGGCTCTGAAACGATGTCAGTGGTGCAGATGTATTTATATTTTATCTTAACCGCTAAGCTGAATTCAGCATTTAGCCATTCCTCCTTCCCCCCTTTTATTGCCTTCTACTGTTTTCGAATGATTTTTCTGTTTATCTTCATCTTTCATCTCATTACTTTATTACTTGTTGTGCTGATTTGAGGTCTGGTAACTTGGACTGTTGGGCAGTAATGTCTAGTTCTATGTTGATATTGACTGGATTAATTGGAAAGAAGTTTAAACCAACAAGGAGGAATTCAGTGCAGGGTGGAAAAAGAAAAAACAATCCGGCTGCGATCCAAATTAGACCTTGTAGCTAAGTTGGTAGAGTATCGGGTTGGAATCCCCAGTGGTCGCTGGTTCGAACCCAGTCGCGGTCAAAATTTTCATTTCACCTTCAATCACCAACCAGTATCAACAATGAGTAATGTAAGAGTAGAGATTAGTCACTCTGTACAATTCTACCATAACTTCTTTGTTCGGTGTTTCACACAATGAAACAGTATTATTTACTGCGTGATGTCTCGCACAAAACTTACTGTTCATAGTTGTGTCAAAGAAAAAACTATAACTTTAATACCCTGTTTCTATAATTCTGTCAATCAGTTACAACAATAGAATGTATCAATAAACTATATGAAAGGGGAAAAATTCACAGAACTGTTAAAAACTGCTTAACACGGGCAAAGACGCTAAGCAACTAAAATGCAAGCAGACAGGCAAGAATTATGCGCTTCTAATTAAAACTGTCAAAAGAAGATAGATTAGCAGTCTTCAAAACATCAAAAATCACCGAAATGCAACACATGGAAGAAAAAGGAGTTTTCAGCCGAAAACACTGACGTCAGTAATGAAACATCATCAAAGATCGATAATACAGAGTGGGTTATCAGTTTTCCAAGTTCAACAGAAATGAATATGCTAGAGGGATGACTTCACTTTAATGTAGCCGTAAAAGAGCTGAAATCTCATTCATACGATAGAAATAGCATTCATTTCATTGGACGTTTGTAGAAGAGGTACAAGCGCAATTTGGACTCGAAAAAAGAAATGCACGCGGTGATCACATACACTTTCATGCGGTAGGCAATGAGCTACACCTATCTAAGGATAATACTTGGCTTTGTAGACCTCAGTATATGGAACGAAGTTAGAACACATGACCCATCGCTTGAAAGTCAAGTGCCAAGACTAATGAGCCGTAGTTCCACCCAATGTGAACTAACCTCGAGGAGAGAAAAGAAAGTTAAAGATTTACAAAGACTAGAAATGGGAGCTCCGGAAAGCCTTAAAAGTGACAAGAACGCAGTAAATTCCAAAACGGATGCAAGTAACTCATTAGAGATTTTGGAAAAGTATGATTTCATGATATAAGTTAACAAGCACATGAAAACATAGCAGTATGAAGAAACTAAAATCCGTTTGGTACAATGATGAATAAGGTCAAGAAATTCTCAGTGACACCATTACGCCGAACAAAACCGTTTCCAGATGTCTAAATGCCCTTGTTTAGTGCTTAAAACTAATAATCTCAGTAAGACATACGGTACTTATGAAGATTTTTTTAAAGGTTATCATAGTTAGCTTTAAGCACATTTCAGAAACTTATGAGTTAACGAAATATTTAGCCGCAGCACTAAATTAAGAAATTGTTCAAAAGTTAGGCTGAATGAACCTTATAAGCTAAAACAATGACTAAATGATCTGTAATCAGATGATTACCAAATAGTTATTTTGGTGTAGCCCTTCTGTAATAAACAGACTAGTACAACTCAATCTGGTACATTTTTATGTGCTAAGCTAAATGAAAACTTGTGATATTACTCGGGTGCACAGACTATGATAGGTAAAGCAGGACATGAACCCGAGACTGATCGTTTGAAAGTAAAACACTTGACCCAACCAAGTACATCTCTACACTAACGTGCTAATCAATACAAATTTAAAGGCAGTAGGGGATGGCCTAAACTGTGACTAGGAACTCGGGCTCAGAACCAAGCTACTAAATCAACAGATCACCAATTTTCACACTCATAGCAGAAATAAACATAGATAGCTGAGAAAAACCTTCTCTTAGAACATTTATTTCCTCCCAAAAAGGAGTACATTTGAAGTACGTGCATTCACAATGTTAAAGTCAAACTAAAATGATAGAAAATAGTCGCACATCCCATCCAATTTACTAATGAGCCACGCGAAACAAACTGAGGTAAGCAGGATTAAAAGGTGCAGGGATGCTAGCCCACCAGGTACCACAAAAAATGTAAGCGTACGAATGAATTCGAAGACTGCAGGCCGTTAACACATGTGCCAGTCAAAATACACTTGGTGAAACATTTACATGTATCTGTGATATCTTACGCAAATGCTACCTTGAACGGTAGTCGAGCTTGGATATCACAATAACCTAATGAGCTACACAAGCTACAACAATTGTTCCATCGAGGGCTTACCATGCTGGAGATGTCTGGTTTGACAAAAAGCAGTCACGGTTGTAATGCAAACTATCACACTAGTATGCGGGTCCGAGCGTGAAGTCGTACTGGTGGCTGACTGATTGTGTAACAGCACTAAGGTGGTTTCTTTGGATGACCAGCAGTGCCACGCTGGTGCTTTCATCCGTATGGGAAGGGAGACCTAGAAAATGTTGGCTCCAAAAAGAGTACACTAGACTCTGCTCATGGTCTTCCGGTACCGACGGTATGGGTTTTCTCTCTGTGACGTTAAAACAATCAAACCTCATACCGACAATCTTAAAAAAGCTGTGTGACGGGCCTCAAGTAGATATCCCAAGGGTTCTGCGAGCACAAGT